GTGGAGCTCCGCAAAGGGGCCCCAGCGGCGCCCTGGGCCACCTAGATCTAGGGCGGGCGCCGATGCGAGCGCCCTGCGGGGGCGGACGGGGGCTGGCACGACGTCGCCGTCACATGCGTTATCTCCGAGGGCCGAAAACCATCACTTCACTAATTTTGGGCCCCAGGGCCCACTGAGGCCCCAGGGGCCCCAGATGAGTGAAGTGATGTTTTTTCCCACGTAAGGACCCCGAAATTCATCACTTCACTAAACCGAACCCAGGACGAAAGTCAGGGGCCGAATTGCTGCTGTGATGCAACATCGGTCTCGTGTTGTCGCGATCTTTTTGAGGAGAGTAGATGTTTGTCCTCGGAATTCAGTTGGGGGTGCATGGCTAAGGCCGGGAAGCGCTTCGATGCCGCATTTGGCAGGTGGTGGCTGCGTTCCAAACGTGGTTTAAGTTGCATGCCAGCCACAGAGCATTCAGGCGCGCCGTTAGCTTCCGAACGGCTCGCTGCGCTCGCCGATAACAACGGGCTGGGCCGTGTACAAAAACTATGATTTTTGGGTGGCTGGGATTCGCCAAATCGCAGCTCCTGGAGATTATTCCCGACCATCCTGATACGTTGGTTTTTTCGTTTTGGCGAGACAGCACCCCGCGCCGCTCACGCCTCGCCCCGCATCCCCGCCCCCCCTCGCCCCACCCATGTCTCTGCCTCCCGCGCGGCAGCAAGTTCGACCCGCCCCTCGCGCGTTTCGCGGCCCCATCGGGAGCTCCGCCGACGGCCCCCATGGCAGGCTTCACCCGCGCCCGCGCCGCCGGCGTCGGCGCGCCCCCTTGCGCGCGTCGCGGCCCCGCAGGGTCGCTCCGCCCAGGCCCCGCCGGCACGTTGGACGCGCGCCCTGCGACCAGCTCGGGGCCACCCCGGGCCACCCGAAGTCACCCCGCGCACCGGGCCACCCTCGGGTCGCCCGGGGCCGCCCAGGAGCCACCCAGTGCCATCCCGAAGCAACTCAGACCGCCATGGGGGCCACCTCGAGCCGCCCCAGGCCATCACGAAGGAGGCACCTCGCGCCACTGCACCTCGAGCCGCCCCAGGCCATCACGAAGGCACCCCGCGCCACTGGCAGGCCACGCGGAGCCAGCTTCGGCGGCCGAGGCCGCCCCTGAGGCCACCCTAGGCCTCAGGCAGCCTCTTGCCGTCCTGGGCCTAGCCAGATGTTGAATCGCCCGAGCGGCCACGCTGGGGGGGGGCGGTCTCTGGCCTGGTGGGTGGTGCGAGGAAGCCAACATCAACGGAAGCAGGAGCAGCAGGGCGACGAGGTAGAGGAGGAGAGGAGGAGGAGACGAGAAGGAGGAGGGGGAGGAGGAGGGGGAGGAGAAGGAGGAGGAGGGGGAGGAGGAGGGGAGGAGGAGGAGGAGGAGGAGGAGGAGGAGGAGGAGGAGGATTAGGGAAGGAGGAGGGGGAGGAGGGGGGGGGCGGGGCAACCAGACAACAATAAATCATATCACGCGGTCTCGCCTGGGGCCTCAAGCGGACCATCAATGCTCGGCCGTAGTGTCTCGGCGCGCCACAGTCAAGCCATCCATCCTCTAACGCATCCTCGCGGGAGGGGGGGCGGCAGGGGCGCGCGTCTTCTAACGTGGCATCGATGGGCGCCCGAGGCAGACCATCAATCTTTGAACGCGGTCTCACTGGTGGCTTCGACCAGGCCGCGCATCCTCGAACGCGGCGCCACTGGAGCTCCAACCAGGCCATGATCCCTGTAACGCTGCCTCGCTGGGGGGCCCGACCAAATCGTGCATCCCCGAATGTGGCCTCGCTGGTGGCCCCAGCCACGCCGCGAATCCCCTCGCGCGGTTTGGCGGCCCCAACCAGACCATGAATATGCCCGCGCGGCGTCGCTGGCAGGCCCCAGCCAGACCAGACATCCAGTGACGTGGACCGACTGGGCGCCCCAACCAGACCTTTTATTTCCTGCTGCGGCCTCGCTAGTGGCCCCGACCAGACCGTCAACCTGCTGACGCAGCTTCTCAGAGGCCCCAACCAAGCCATGCAGCCGGCGCAGCCTCGCCGGGCGCCTCAACGAGGCCATGCTTCATCGACTGCTGCCCTGCTGGCGGGCGGCGCCAAAATCTTCGGACGCGGCGCCGCTGGGGGGCCCGACCAGGCCGCGCATCCTCTTGCGCGGCCCCGCCGGTGGCCCCAGCCAGACCACAGAGCAATATGGTGCGGCTTCGCTGGCGCCCACCGCAGGGGGGGGGCGATCAGGGGGGGGGTGGGGGGGCGATCAGGGGGGGGGGGGGGCGATCGGGGGGGGGGGCTTTTTTTTTTGGGGGGGGGGGGGGGGGGGCCGATCAGGTCGCGCGCCCGCCGACGCGGCGTCGCTGGAGGGCGGCCCCAACCAGACCGTGAATCCATCGATGCGGCGCCGTTGGCGGGCCCCAGGCAGACGGTGGCCCCTCTGGCGCGGCGTCGCTGGGCCCCCAACACGACCGCGCCTCCTCTGACGGCGCTTTGCTGGCGGCCCCGACGAGACCGCGAATCCTCGGAGCTTGTGCACGGGCCTTGGCCTTAGGCTGGGGCCTGTGGCAGAACCTGGCCTAACCATAAAGCTCAAGCGTAAGCTTAAGATTAAGCTCAGGCTTAAGCCTGAACATGAGCTTGAATTCAAATCTGAGCTTAAGGTTAAGGCTGAAGCCTGAGCTCACGTTCGCGACTGAGCCAGAGCCTAAGCCTGGGCCTGGGTCTAAGCTTACAGCGAAGCTTAAGGGCCTCAGTCCGAGACTGAGCCTGAGCCACACTTAACGTACGGGCGATGCACATATCCCAGGGGGGGAGGCGCGCAGCCCCCCAAAACATGTGCCCCGACCCTCCATGGGCAGACCAGGGCCCCAGACTGCTTTCAAGACCCCTTGGTGATGGTCCCGGCTGGCCCCAGAATGGGCCAGGAGTGCCCATCGGTCGTTGTAATTGAGTATTTGCGGGTTCCCATAGTCCCATCTGTTTTCAAGCTCCTTCTTATTTCAATGATCGAGTGGCTTCACCTTCTTCGTCCTCCTTAGGGGGCGGACGGAACCCAATCTACTCTCAACGCCTTCCTACTTCATGTTTCTGCCTACTTCCTCCGACTGGTGAGTACCCCAAAAGCACTATAACGCCCCAACGGGGCCCCAGAGTGGTTTAACGACAGCCAAGCAAATGTCAGAAACGCTCCGAGAAAGCTCCGAGTCCGTTCCCAAGAGGGCCCCCACAGACAAACAGCAAATGATTGTCCATCTTTTCGTTTACTCTTCACCGTTTTGGCTTTTTCAGCCTTCCGACGTGCCGAGACGACCCAAGATGCCCCCTAGACCTCGCCCAGAGGGCCCAAGACGCCCCCAAGACCGCCCCAACACGGCCCGACACGGCTCCAAGACGGCCCAAGAAGGCCCCAAAACGACCCCAAGAGCGACGCCAGAGGGGGAATGCGGACCGAAAGTTTAAAATTTCCACACGACAGGCTCCTAGAAGGCCCCAAGAGACCCGCAAGAGGTCCCAAGAGGCCTCCAAGACCCCCCCAAGACGGCTCAACACAGCGTCAAGACGGCCCAAGAGGGGCCCAAGACGGCTCAATGATGTCCCCAAACGGTCTTGAGAAAGGGTCTTGGTATCGGCATCGGTCGACAATGCTCTCTTCATCAGCCTCACACGCACAATGAAAGATGAAGCCAGCAATTGTGCACAGCGCGTTCTGGCGGGATCCTTCCGGAATCTGCTGGAGGAGGTGAGAGGTCCGGAGGAGGAAGAGGAGGAGGAGCAGGAGGAGGAGGAGGAGATGGAGGCGGAGAATGAGGAGGGCTTGGAGGAGGAGGAGGAGGAGGAGGAGGAGGAGGAGGAGGAGAGGAGGAGGAGGAAGATCCCAAGGACTCTCCCCCCCCCTCCGCTCCCGACCCGAAGACGTCCCAAGGGGCGCCCAAGACGGCCCGAGAAGGTCCCCAAACGGTCCTGAGAACGGGTCTCGGTATCGGCATCGGTCGACAAGGCTCTTTTCATCAGCCTCACACGCACAATGAAAGATGAAGCCAGCAATTGTGCACAGCGCGTTCTGGCGGGACCTTCCCAGAACCTGCTGGAGGAGGAGGAAAGAGGAGCAAGAGGAAGGTCTAGAGGATGAAGAGGAGGAGGAGGAGGAGGAGTTGGAGGAAGATTTTGAAGTTTTTCCCTTTGTCCAGGCCTCTGCTCCCAAACCCAAGACGGCCCAAGAGGCGCCCAAGACGGCCCAAGAAGGTCCTAAAACGTCCCTGGAAAAGGGGTCTCGTATCGATCTCGGCGCAACTCGTGCCAGCAATTGTGCACAGCGCGTTCCAGCAGGGCCCTTCAGAACACGCTGGAGGAGAAGGGAGATCCAGAGGAGGAAGAGGAGGAGGAGGAGGTGGAGGAGGAGGAGGTGGAGGAGGAGGAGGATCTGGAGGTCTCCCACCTCCCTCGTCGTACGCGTCGTCGCACTTGTCGTATTCGCTTTCGGGTTCGGCCCGCTTCAGAGTCCATTTTGGAGCCAGTTCGGTTTGGCTTGGTTCGAGAGTCGAAAACGACGGGTTCGAGTCGGTTCGGTCCGCGTTGAAAATTGACAGGTTCGCACTGTTTCGGTTCGACCGGGTTCGGTTCGGGCAGCTCGGTTCGTTTTTGGAATCACCTTGTAGACATTATCATCGACGCTGGCGTCGTGGTCGTTCGTTGTCGTCATCGTTGTCGAGGTCGCCACAGTCGTCCGCGTCATCGTCGTTGAGGCTGACGTCAACGTAGTCAAAAATCGAGCTTGCAATCGGGAGCGTCAGAGTTAGAACCTAACCGCGCGCGAAGCGCGCATGGTTCTAGCGCTCGGATTTGATATCGTCATGCGTGTCAATATGTTCCTACCCGTCCCATCATCATCAGCATCATCATCACCATCATCATCATGATTTGTTGTGTCGCCCCCTGTTCATCATAATGTTTATTAGTGTGTTGTTCGTCCTCTTCCTCCCTACTCCTTCTCGCAGCCATCCCAACACAAGCCGGCCCAGCGAAAGCGTGTGGGCTATTTATAATGATTTCCCCTGAGGCCTGACATGCCATTGAATTTACATCCGTTGGGCCGCACGGGGAGCCTCGCGCAGCAATGCGTGTGGTAAGCATCCATGTGTTTATTGTTGTATTGCGGGCTTGGGTGGCGCAAGTGCAAGCGAACTATCTTTACACGCATGATTCCCAGGTCAGGCTTCGCAGTTCTAAGTACACTGCACACGACGCTTACTTCATCGAGACTACAGCGAGTGATTGCGTCCTCCCTGCCGAAGCAATCATCACCCCTGAGCAGTGTGACGAAGCTGCGGAGGTTCTGGGGCTCGTCTTGGGGTACCGGGGCAATTGGAATTTAGGGGGCCACTGCGCCAAATGGGCTGTTCTGAACATGGATACGTGGTACTACCATTACGCATCAGGTCGACCAGGCGCCCAACCAATATGCAAAGTGCCTGCGTTTTCGCTTGGTCATGAGAGGTACTGCAGCAAAACGAGGAGCACTGCTGCGCCGGAATGTCCCGCCTTCCATGCAGAGATCACGTCTCCATCAGACTGTGACAGTGCAGCGAGCGAGCTCGGGCTCACCTTGCACCCCTCGGACGGAAACGTGAATTATGGTGGAACTTGCAGCCAATGGCATAATGGAAATGGCCAAGAGAATTGGTACTTCTACTACGCGAGCAATCAATGTGGCGCCTACCCAATATGCCAGTTGCAACAATTTGTTCTGAGCGATCCGTGCCCTCCTGGATTTGAATCGATTACTGTTGCGGCAGTTTGCGACATAGCTGGAGCTGCGCTCGGACTCAGCCCAGGCTTTGTTACTCAATACGGCTTCGGTGGCAAGTGTGCGAAATACGAATTGGGGGGGCAATCCAATGTGTATTACCATTGGGCAAGCAACCAACCCGGAGCCACATCAATCTGCTCCGCTGTGACATCGAATCCCGTGATAGTGCCGACGCCCAGCCCGACAGAGTCTTCAACGGCCCCTTCGTGCACACAGCTCGCCACTGGAGGCCGCTCCAACGATTGGAGCACGATCTGCAAAAATGTGCCGACGACCGCAGGCCACGTCCAACTCAACATGGGGGATGTGGTCGACTACTTCAGACCTGTGGCGGGGGCGACCTTTTGTGATATGTTAACAAGCTCTAATCAACACGAGTGGAGCAATAACCTGACTACGTGGTACACTCCTGGTTATTATTCAGCACACTTTGGCGGGTCTGCCTTGAATTGGCCGCTTGATAATGTGGCGGGAGATGAGCGAAGGTTCTTGTCATTCTGGGATGACGGCGGGGGCGGCGTCGGTGGCTGTTGCCACAACAGCTACTCGGACTCCTCCTATCCAGGTCGGCCATTTATAATGTATTGGTGTCAGCCAGGTGCAAATTTGGTACCCACCCCGTTACCGACCAGCTCGGGCGATATTACTGCCACTGGCGATCCACATCTGAAAAATGTGTTCGGTGAGCGGTTCGACTTAATGATGCCGGGCAGGCATGTTCTGATTAACATCCCTCGTGGGGAGCCTGCAGAAAAGGCACAGCTTCACGTGGAGGCCGATGCGAGCCGATTGGGTGGGCAATGCGAAGATTTGTATTTCCAAGAACTGAATATCACTGGGTCCATGGCAGAGGAGGTGCAAACAGGAGGGTACCGTTTCCAAGCGCGAGGTGACAACGAGACTCCAGAGTGGTTAAGTTTCGGCAAGATTCAGTTGAAAGTCGTTCATGGGCGTACGGATCACGGCATCGAGTATTTGAATTTCTACGTCAAACACTTGAAGCGGGCAGGGCTTCCTGTTGGAGGTCTGCTAGGAGAAGATGACCATTCACATGTCGAAAAACCTCCAGAGGATTGCATCCAGCACGTCACCATGTGATATGTGGTTGGAATGGCAAGCTTGCGTTGACGGTACCTCGACGTCCTCGTCAACCACACCATATCTCCTCGAGTTGAGCGCCTTTGGCGGGCGTCTTCCTCCTCGGCCTGCTCTAATTCATGTCGCTCTCGTTCGGGCCAGGGGAGGGGGATGGGAGAGGAGGTGGCGATAGCGAGGGGATAGGGGGAAGGGAAGAAAGCGTGGAGTTGAGCGGGTGGGAGGTGGTGTGAGGGGTCCTATGATGGGGGGTTGTGCACGATGGCCACTGCAACGCAAACATGGAATGGAGTTGTTCGCACACGCCTGGTGTGGTTATGTCTGCCCAGGTCGAGGGCTGACTGTTAAGATTTTGCGAAATCCTCGCGAAGAGTTCTGGTTCCGTTTCCCCCGTGGGGGTCTGAGGGACGTTTTCACCCCGAAACGGTTTGGTGTCACGCGTCGGTCAGAACCGTCCTTTGTGGCGGAGCACGTGCTCAATCTTGTTTGCGATTGCACGGGTGCGTGTCTCCAGGCATTCGAATTGTTCATTTTTCGCGCATCCCCACCAGTCCATCCAGAACCGATGCCCAGGGGATTTGTCTGGAGGAGTGGCGTAGGTGAAGCAAGGAGGCCAACAATGGTGATCTGAGACCTCGGGGTGCCTCGTGGAGCCGTAGTCAAGCAGTTTTGAAAGTCTTGTTGGCCTTCTCGGGGCCCTCTCGGGAATATCTTGGGACCCGTTTGGGGCTCTTTTGGGCCCTTCTTGGGGAGCTTGGGGGTGCCATCCTGGATACCATCGATCAAAGAATGGCGACGCTTGATGAAGGCTCCCGTCGGATGCCGAACAGTTGCCTTGTGGGGCGCGCTTGGGGCCCTCTTGGGCCCCTCGTGGGGCTCTCTTGGGGCCTCCAAAGGAGATCGGATGCGAGAAGGCACACATCATTGGTTTGCCCGTGGGGGTAGAAGGGTCATGGACTCTCGGGAGCGTCCCTGAAAGAATCCGTGGCCATTCTGGAGCCGTCTGGGGGAGGTCTTGAAGCGTCTTGGAGATATGATGGACGCATCGTGAACCACCTTGGGCTACCTTGAGCGATTTGGGAATCGATGGGCCAAAAAGAACCATCCACCACCTGGCGAGAACCTCCGTCCAAACCCAGGGACAAGCCGCAAGCCGGCTCGTTCACTCCCACCCGGCTTCCCAACACGTGAGTAGCATCCGAGTTTCAGCATGCTCAGCGGTCGCAAGTGGACGGGTAGGTATTGGATGCCAATCGAGGTGCCAGGTGCGCAACGTTGGCGAGGTGCGCCACGCGTGCCAGGCGCACCAGGTAAGCCAGACGCCCCAAGGGCTGAAGCCTGGCAGGCGCGCCTGGTGCGCCAGATGCGCTGCGCCCTCCGCGTGCGCCCAAGTGTGCCACGAGCTCCAGTCGCGTCAGGTGCGCGACACGGGCAGAGTATGCCAGGCGGGCCAGCGCAAGGTACAGCACCCATCGAGAAACACGTCGAGCCCCCCACCACCATTCTTGCCGAAGAGTCAAAACGGTGGCGGGATGGCCATCATGGTGTACGGCATGTCCACCCGCAATCCCTGTGGCTTGGTATTAGACAGGAACGGTGAGCCTGCGCACATCGGAAAATATGCCGACCCCACCGCCGTCGCGACAAGAACCATTACAAAGTGATCGGAGGGAGCCCGCTCATGGTCCAATAATGCTGCACGGAGCGTATGTCGTCTTGCTCTTCGACAGGGATGACGGGGGAGAGGGAGATGGCATTGTTTCCGCTCTGCGGTCCTCCGGTGAGGGAGGGGGGAGGAGGGGCATCGACAAGGAGCAATGGAGATCCCGCCCGAACGAGAAGAAAGGGGCTGGAAGAACGAACTCCCTAGAAAATTCACGCCCGAGAGCAGTACATGTTCTTGCGGAGGCGGGGGAAGCGGCAGAAGACGCACAGGAGCGCAAATCTCGAAGGGGAAGAAGTGAATTGGAAAAACGAGCTCCTTGGACCATTCAAACACCCAGGGGCTGGTGGGATCAGTCGGAGGCTGGGGGGTGTGAACGGAAGTGACCCCAAGCGGGGGCGAGGCGAAGTTGCGCGAGTTCTTGCACTTGAGAGGCCACATGGAGCCCAAAAGGTCGCATGCCCCCCTCCCCCCGCCGGGCGCGGCCCCCGATGGTTGTCCCGCGGGATGTCCCGATGGCTGTCCTAATAATGGTTGTCCCGATGGTTGTCCCGATGGTTGTCCCGATTGTTGTCTCGATGGTTGTCCCGATGGGTCTCCCGATGGTTGCCCCGAGGGTTGTCCCGAGGGTTGTCTGGATGGTTATCCCAATGGCTGACCCGATTGGTTGTCCCGATTGGTTGTCCCGATGGTTGTCCCGACGGATGTTCCGAGGGTTGTCCCGATGGCTGTCCCGATGGATGTCCCGATGGTTGTCTTGATGGTTGTCCCGATTGTTGTCCCAATGGTTGTCCTAATGGTTGTCCTGATGGTTGTCCGGATGGTTGTTCCCGATGGTTGTCCCGATGGTTGTCCCGACGGTTGTCCCGATGGTTGTCCCGGTGGTTGTCCCGATGGTTGTCCCCATGGCTGTCCCCATGGTTGTCCCGATGAATGTCCCCATGAATGACCCGATGGTTGTCCCGATGGTTGTCTTGATGATTGTTCCCGATGGTTGTCCCGATGGTTGTCCCGATGGTTGTCCCGATGGTTGTCCCGATGGCTGTCCCGATGGCTGTCCCGATGGTTGTTCCGATGGTTGTCCCGATGGTTGTCCCGATGGTTGTCCCAATTGTTGTCCCGATGGTTGTCCTGATGGTTGTTCCCGATGGTTGTCCCGATGGTTGTCCCGATGGTTGTCCCGATGGTTGTTCGGATGGTGGTCCCGATGGTTGTCCCAATGGTTGTCCCCATGGTTGTCCCGATGAATGACCCGATGAATGACCCGATGAATGACCCGATGGTTGACCCGATGGTTGTCCCCATGGTTGTCCCGATGGATGTCCCGATGGTTGTCTTGCTGGTTGTCTTGCTTGTTGTCCTAATGGTTGTCCTGATGGTTGTCCCGATGGTTGTCTTGCTGGTTGTCCCGTGGGTTGTCCGAGGGTTGTCCCGATGGTTGTCCCGACGGATGTTCCGATGGTTGTCCCGATGGTTGTCCCGATGGTTGTTCCGATGGTTGTCCCGATAGTTGTCCCGACGGTTGTCCCGATAGGTGCCCCGATGGCTGTCCCGATGGTTGTCCCGACGGATGTTCCGAGGGTTGTCCCGATGGCTGTCCCGATGGATGTCCCGATGGTTGTCTTGATGGTTGTCCCGATTGTTGTCCCAATGGTTGTCCTAATGGTTGTCCTGATGGTTGTCCGGATGGTTGTTCCCGATGGTTGTCCCGATGGTTGTCCCGACGGTTGTCCCGATGGTTGTCTTGCGGAATGTCTCGATGGTTGTCCCGACGGTTGTCCCGATGGTTGTCCCGACGGTTGTCCCGATGGTTGTCCTAATGATGGTTGTCCCGATGGTTGTCCCGATGGTTGTCCGATGGTTGTCCCGATGGTTGTCCCGATGTGTTGGTTGTCCCGATGGTTGTCCCGATGGTTGTCCCCATGGTTGTCCCGATGGGTCCCGATGGTTGTCCGATGGTTGTTCCGATGGTTGTCCCGACGGTTGTCCCGATGGTTGTGCGGACGGTTGTCCCGACGGGTGTCCCGATGGTTGTCCCGATTGTCCCGATGGCTGTCCCCATGGTTGTCCTGGTGGTTGTCCCCATGGTTATCCCGACGGTTGTCCCCAGTGTTGTCCCGATGATTATTTTGATGGTTGTCTTGCTGGTTGTCCGGACGGTTGTCCCGAGGGTACCCCCGATGGTTGTCCCGATGGGCAGATGTGCGCGACAAGGATAGTTGAAGAAACCACCAAGGAACCCAGAGCCATCGCAAATCGGCCGCCTCCCCCTCTCCCCCCGCAACCTCCTTATCACACGTAAGGTGGTCCTGTCTGCATCTCAGCATTGCATTGCAGTACTCGGGTTGCTTCGACCCGTGTCCTCTGAGATTGCCGTTGGCCACCTCCTGGTCAATCCGGCCGTAGATCCTGAATCTCGCACACCGCAGAGAGCGCCTAGTAACCTTGACGCCTCCAGTTTTCTGGTGGCTTTTTGCCTGCACACTCGTTGCGCACGAAGTCTTTCCGCCCGACAGCTGTGCTCGAAGCGCGCATTCTGGAAACAAAAAGGTTCCCGACACCGCATTGGCCATCGGCTGGTACCGCCGCCAACTCTCGCAGACAGCCAGGTGCAGCGTACAGCGGGGGACCATGACAAGAAACACCCCACGTTTCCCTGGGTTCCCTGGGTTCCTGGGTTCCCTGGGCGTTCGGCGCGCGGGTTGCCGCAATCTCGAAGAAGCTGCAAATGCCAGGGCACCATGGGTTTCTTGGGCGCCGGTCAGTTTCGGGGCGCGCGCGACCGCCTCTCCAGGAAGCTTCCGGGCAAACGGGGGAGACCTCGGCGGCTTTCGGGGCTGGGTTTCTTGCGGTGGGCTCGGGGGTCGATGCACGCGTCCCAGACCCCCGACGTCATGATTTTTTCATGACGCGACCCCCAGAGGTCCGGACCCATTTCCCGGGACCGGTTTTTCGTTCCTGAGTCGTTTTTTGACGCTCCCGAGGCCCGGTGAGGGCCCCCAGAGGCCGAAAATTCGGAAAATCCTCCCGTCGAGATTTTTTCATTACTCGAGGGGTTCTGGGGTCCCTGCCCCCCGCCGCGCGATCGGGGGATGGGTGCGCGCACGCCTCTCGGGAGCCGCCCGCTCCCGGAGCTCGCACTTCCATGTGCCCGTCTCGTCGTGCGCGGCGCCGCCGCGCGGGGTGGTGCGCGGGAGCTCCGCCGGCCGCTCCGCCGGCGGGGGGCCCTCCTCCTCCTCCTCCTCCTCCTCCTCCTCCTCCTCCTCCTCCTCCTCCTCCTCCTCCTCCTCCTCCTCCTCCTCCTCCTCCTCCTCCTCCTCCTCCTCCTCCTCCTCCTCCTCCTCTCTTCCTCCTCCTCCTCCTCCTCCTCCTCCTCCTCCTCCTCCTCCTCCTCCTCCTCCTCCTCCTCCAGGGGCGCCCAAGTGAGGGGGGGAGGACCATCGGGAGAAGGTACTCCAGATTTCGTAATAAAGGGAGTGGGGGTCTCATTTCGGGGGGGGTCTCTTCCAGGCTGTCTTGGAGGGCCTGGGGGGTCTGGGGACGATGTTTTGGAGGGTTCTCCCACGGGGGAGGTCCGAAATGGCTTGTCTTGGAGGGTCCAGACCCCCTCCCTGTTATTACGAAGTCTGGAGTAGACGTGAGAGTGACCTTTCGCCGGAGTGACCGTTGGTGCGGGTACAGCTGGGCCCTCTTTATGGCTGAGAGCGAAGCGGTAGCAGCGGCTTGCGCGCCCAGGTTTGGTCTCCCCGCGGCCTCCAGAAGCCGCGCACCGAAAGTCACTCTTACCCAGGGTCGCTCTTGCGTGTAGCCGAGAAGGGACCTCTGCGTTAGTGTCCCGACCGATCTCGACGGTGCCCCGACTGGTTGTCGCTGGTGTCCTCAGCGGTGTTTACATCAGTGCGCGGTGGCGTCCCGACGGTCTCCCGATCGATGTGTCATGGTGTCCCGACGGGGCGTCGGCGGTTCAGCGATCGATCAGCGAGGTCGTCCCAGTGGTGTTTCTCTCGGTCGTGTCCCGATAGGTGCCCCAACTTATTTGTCCTGATCGATTCTTGATGTTTTGACTGCGTTCCGATGGTGCCCCGATTGATTTTCGATGACGTCCCGATGGTGTCAGGATTGATTTGGGGCGGTGTCCTGGTGGACGGCCCGACTGTTGTTGATAGTGCACATGGTTTCACGATAGTGTGCCGTTTGATTTTCGATGGTGTCCCTAATGATGTTCATTGGTGTCCCGATGGTGTTGCGATTGATTTGCGGTGGTGTCCAGATGGTACCTCAGCCGATTGTATTTTGAATGTGTCTCGATCGATGTTTCGGTGGTGTCCGGATGGCGAGTTTCGGAGTCGAATCGCACCCGTGCGAAAATAACAAATTCTGTATGTTTCCCTTCTCTGCGCTTCCCGCTCTCTCTCTCTATTTCTCTCTCTATATATGTATATATATACTATATATACATGTATTTCAATCCCTCTTCCTGTCTCTCTTCCTTTCTCTCTTTCTCGCTCTCTCTCTCTCTCTTTCTCTCCGTCTCCCTCCGCCCCTACCCCTCGGGCTGGGCGAACGCGGCGACTCCAAGAGTTCGCCAGGAGGTCGTCTCGGATTCGGTTTTTCGGCGAAGCCGTCTAGCGGAAGCCCAGGCCCACTGCGGGGCTGCTTTGCGGATCGATGGGGGGGCAACAAAACCGATCATCCTGGCAAGGGGCCCAATCATCTGCTGTTGGGAGTACCATGCTGTGGGTATCGCTCTCGGTGGTGCGAGCCCTACCACTGGGGCCTTCGGTGGAGCTCCTTACAGGGCCGCGGAGCGCGTGAGGGGCGTGTCGGAGTTTTGCGAGGGCTATGGGGCCACAACGTGCGTGAGGGGCGTGCCGACTTGGTGCGGGGGGCGCACGCGGACGCGGCCGCTGGGGTGGTCGGTGGAGCTCCCCATAAGGGCCACGAAGCGCGCGAGGGGCGTGCCGACATGGGGCGGGGGGGCGCTCGAGAGAGGTCCAGATCCAAAGTGGGCGGTGCGGACCTGACTGGGCCGTCCAGATCCCGGCTGGTAATAAAGTCGATCGGCTTCCCGAGAATTCCGCGAGGGTTTCTGGATGGGTTCCTGAAGGGTTCCTGCCGGATTCCTGATGATTCCTGGGGGATCCCACCGGATTCCTCTAGGATGCCTGATGGCTTCCTGAAGATGCCGGAGGAGTCCGACGGGATTCCTGAGCCCGGAGGGAGTATTGACGATTCCTGAATGATTCTTGGAAGATGCCGGAGGATTTTGGAGAATACCTAAAGATTCTTCCGGGTTTCCTCCCGAATGCCTGACGGTTTTCTACAGGATATCTGAAGATTCCTGAGGATGCCTTCTGTATAATTGAGCGTTTCCTGAGGTTGCCTGATGGATTCCTGAGCATTCCTTCGGGATTTCTAAGGAAGTCTTGACGGTGTCCTGAAGACTCCTGAAGATTCTTCAAGGATTCCTGAGGTCCTGAGGACTCCCAAAGGATTCCTGGGGGATTCCTTGGGGGCTTCTGAGGAAATCATCCAAGGCTTCTTGATGGATGTCTGAAGGATTCTCCCTGAAGATTCCTGAAGAACACCGACGGAGTCCCTCAGGATACTTGAGGATTCCCCGCAGAATTCCGGAAGGGGTTCCCGACGGACTCCAGAGCGATTCGAGCGATTCCTATAGGTTCAGGGGTTCTTTGGGGGCCTTCTTGATCCGTCATGGAGCTCGGGAAAAATCTAGAGTGCAGCCCCGAAAGTCACGCGCCACGCCTTTGCGATTGGGGCGATGGGCCTTTTTTTAAGAGCATGTGCCATCTTCAATGTTCATGATTGAGGACGCCTAAGGAAAAGTGGGATACTCCAGTTTTGCTTTCGAGGCACGGTGGATAATGTATGAATGGCCGCTCGGTCTCAGCGTCACCATAACTATTCCCAGCGTCTCCGCACAATCATCGTCATCATCTTCTTCGGTTGTACAGTCCTCCTTTACCTGACCATGGTGATCCTGTTGCTGCTCCTCTTCTTTCCCACTCCTTCCCGCAGCCGTCCCAACACAAGCTAGCCCAGCGCGAGCGTGCTGGCTATTAGTCATGATTTCCCCTGAGGTCTGACATGCCACTGAGCTTGCATCCGTTGGACCGTGCGGGGAGCCTCGCGCAGCAATGCGCGTGGTAAGCATCCATGTGCTAATTGTTTGTTGGTTGGCTTTGGGGGCGCAAGTGCAAGCAATCTATCTTCAGACGCGTGATTCCCAGGTCAGGCTTCGCAGTTCTAAATACACTTCACACGACGCTTATTTCATCGAGACTACTGCGAGTGATTGCGTCCTCCCTGCCGAAGCAATCATCACCCCTGAGCAGTGTGACGAAGCTGCGGAGGTTCTTGAGCTCGTCTTGGGGTACCGGGGAAATTGGAATTTAGGGGGCCATTGCGCCAAATGGGCTGTTCTGAACATGGATACGTGGTACTACCATTACGCATCAGGCCGACCAGGCGCCCAACCAATATGCAAAGTGCCTGCGTTTTCGCTTGGTCATGAGAGGTACTGCAGCACAGCGAGGAGCACTGCTGCGCCGAAGTGTCCCCCCTTCCATGCAGAGATCACAGATCCATCAGACTGTGACAGTGCAGCGAGCGAGCTCGGACTCACCTTGCACCCCTCGGACGGAAACGTGAATTATGGTGGAACTTGCAGCCAATGGCATAATGGAAATGGCCAAGAGAATTGGTACTTCTACTACGCGAGCAATCAATGCGGCGCCTACCCAATATGCCAGTTGCAACAATTCGTTCTGAGCGATCCGTGCCCTCCTGGATTTGAATCGATTACTGTTGCGGCAGTTTGCGACATAGCTGGAGCTGCGCTCGGACTCAGCCCAGGCTTTGTTACTCAATACGGCTTCGGTGGCAAGTGTGCGAAATACGAATTGGGAGGGCAATCCAATGTGTATTACCATTGGGCAAGCAACCAACCTGGTGCCACATCAATCTGCTCCGCTGTGACATCGAATCCCGTGATAGTGCCGACGCCCAGCCCAACATCGTCTTCAACGGCTCCTTCGTGCACACAGCTCGCCACTGGAGGCCGCTCCAATGACTGGAGCACGATCTGCCAAAGTGTGCCGACCACCGCAGGCCACGTCCAACTCAACATGGGGGATGTGGTTGACTACTTCAGACCTGTGGCGGGGGCGACCTTTTGTGATATGTTGACAAGCTCTAACCAGCACGAGTGGAGCAATAACCTGACTACGTGGTACACTCCTGGTTATTATCCAGCACACTTTGGCGGGTCTGCTTTGAATTGGCCGCTTGATAACGTGGCGGGGGATGAACGAAGATTCTTGTCATTCTGGGATGACGGCGGGGGCGGCGTCGGTGGTTGTTGCCACAACAGCTACTCGGACACCTCCTATCCAGGCCGGCCGTTTACAATGTATTGGTGCCAGCCAGGAGCAAATTTGGTACCCACCCCGTTACCGACCAGCTCGGGCGATATTACTGCCACTGGCGATCCACATCTGAAAAATGTGTTCGGCGAGCGGTTTGATTTGATGATGCCGGGCAGGCACGTTCTGATAAACATCCCTCGTGGGGAGCCCGCCGAAAAGACACAGCTTCACGTGGAGGCCGATGCGAGCCGATTGGGTGGGCAATGCGAAGATCTGTATTTCCAAGAACTGAATATCACAGGGTCTTTGGCAGAGGAGATGCAATCAGGAGGGTACCGTTTCCGATCTCGAGATGACAGCGAGACTCCGGAATGGCTAAGTTTCGGCAAGATTCAGTTGAAAGTCGTTCATGGGCGTACGGATCACGGCATCGAGTATTTGAATTTCTACGTCAAGCATTTGAAGCGGGCTGGGGTTCCTGTTGGAGGCTTGCTAGGAGAAGATGACCATTCACATGTCGAACAACCTCCAGAGGAATGCATCCAGCATGTCACCTTGTGATCTGTCGTATTAGCGGCGAGCTTACATTTACGGAATTCGACGTCCATGCCACCTCTTCGTGCTGAGCGCTTCCGGCGGGCATCTTCCTCGTCTTGCTCTATGTCATGTCGTTCTCGTTCGGAGGGGTAAGGGGAGGGGGATGGTGGAGGAGGGGGCGGGAGCGAGGGGAGAAGTGCAAGCTAGGTGCGCTCGCGCCTCACCTGACATCCTATCCCACCTTCCCATCTCTTCCTATGTCGTTGATAATTCATGATGTATCCGCGGACGCGTGTCAGGACAGACGTGCGGCTCCCACAGAAAGACCACTTCCTGTTATGCGCAGTCGGAAAGAGGCGAGTTGCATGCACAGGAGGAGGAGGTTGCAGATGAGTCGGAGGATGAGCGGGAAGGAAATGATGAGGACGAACAGGGGAAGGCGGAGGAGAGGAATTAAGGGGGGTGACCACGATTAAAAACGACTCGGATTCAGAAAAGTAGCCCGCGCTGGGGCAATGGAAACAACTTCAACAGAAGTGGGAATGGAAGGAGCGGGAAGAACAGGAGGACCTGGGGAAGGTGGAGGAGCGGAAATGAGGGGGAGGCACCACCAGAAAGCGCGATTCGGATCCAGCAAAATGGCACGCGCTGGGGTGAGAGCGCCATTCTGAACGATGGGAGCACCGTGCCGATCTGAAAATGAGGCCCACGCTGCAGTGGGAGTGCCATCTTGAAGGGGAGCACGCGGAATGAAGCTAACGCTACAGTGGTAGCACCAGTGAGAAGGCCCGAGAACGATGACATTGGCCGAGAACACGAACACGGAGGCAACGATGAGACGGGAGCGGTAAGTTGATTTTGGAAGAGCTGGAAGTGTGGACATGAAGCTCCAGATGAAGCGAGATCGCCTGCCTGGAAAAACCGACAACATCTGGAGTGGAAGACGCGCAAACAAAACCAGCTAGCGCACATCATGTGGGCGAAAATTAAGACCGAATCGTTGTATCGCGTGTCTGAAAAAAGAAACCTGGAGGGAGCGTGTTTGTTTTTCCGTCCTCTTCGGGGAGGAGAGGGGAGAAGTGCGCTCGCGCCTCATCTAACATCCTATCCCTCACTCCCATCCCTTCTCTCATGGCGCTGATTTTTATGATCCGCGGGCGCGTGTCATAGCAGACGTGCGGCTCACACAGAAAGACCGTTTCCTGTTGTGCGCAATCCGAAAGAGGACAGTTGCGTGCACAGGAAATTGAGATTGCAAATAAGCCGGAGGATGAGCGGGAAGGAAATGGTGAGGACGAACAGCATCAGCAGGAATTAAAGCGGAAAGACCGGGAGGGAAATGAGGACCAGGGGAAGGCGGAGGAGAGGAAGTGAGGGGGTTGACCACGATGAAAAAAGACTCGGATAGAGAAAAGTGGCCCGCGCTGGGGCGAGGGAAACAGCATCAGCAGAAATGGGAGAGGAAGGAGCGGGGGGAACAGGAGGCCCAGGGGAAGGCGGAGGATCGGACATGATGGGGGGGACCACAATGAGGCAAGATTCGGATCTAGCAAAATGGCCCGCGGTGGGGCAAGAGCGCCAGTCTGAATGACGGGAGCAAAGCACCGATCGGAAAATGAGGCCTTCGCTGCAGCGGGAGCATCATTGAAATATTGGAGACAATCGGATTGTACACAACCATAAGAAAGAGCAATTGTCGAAGTCCTGTGTGCGCGGAGAGGGCGGGTGATCTTCTAGACAACTGCAGGGAAGGAGGTATATTAGTAGCCATATTGTATAATTTCAAAAGGGGGAAAGGGGAGAGGGAGAGGGGAGGGACGGTGGAGATGGAAGGGATGGAGGGGGCGGGAAAGGGAGGGAGGGAGGGAGGGCGGGCGGGCGGGAGCGAGGGAGGGAGGGAGGGAGGAAGGAGGAGAGGAGGAGAAGGAGGAGGAGGAGGAGGAGGAGGAGGAGAAACTTCCACTCCCTCCCCTCCGCCCTAGCGAGCCCCTGGCTGGCCTCTGGGTGGGGTGGGTGGGGCGCGGCGTCGGCCTCTCTCACGCCGGCATGGGCTGCCCTCGCATCCATCGGGAGCCTTGGGACAGGGGTCAATGCAAACGGGGGTCAGCCAGAGCGTTCGATCTTGCAGGATCCTGCAGGGCCAGGGGCGCATTGACCCGGGCTCGGGTGCAGGATCCTGCAGGATCTTTCGCATTGCACTCGGGCTTGGGTGCAGAGTCTGTCAGGATCGTGCAGGATTCTGCAAGGCCTGACTGACCCGGGCCTGGATTGACCCGGGTCAGAAGATCCCCGAGTCCAGCTGAGACGGTGGGGGATGAAACAATCCTTCCACACTCACCGAGCGCGTTCTCGCAAACACCATATTTTTTTAGAACAAAAAACTCGCAGAGCGCCCACTCGCAAACACCAGGCACACAAAAACAAACACGCCAGAAACGCAAAGTGCCTGCTCGCAAAAACCAGGAAACACAAAAGCAAAAAGTCCGCCTCCATGTAGTGCATCGTAGATCCCCCTGGACGGATCCAGGCCATCTGCGAGCAGCTGCTCGGCGAGCAGTCGAGCGCGCTTGTCCGCACACGGGGGCCGCAGCCTGGGTCGCCTGGTGGGCACGCACATGGTATGATTCGACAGGGCCGGCACTAAACGTTGCTTGGTCGTTGCGATTTCGTTTTATTATTCGTTTTCTCTACCTCTTCTCCTGGCCAGCAAAACACAGCCGACATCTAACAAAACAGCGTTCAGGTCCAGCCCTGTTATTCGACAGGGATGAGACGGTAGAGGGAAGCAACTCATAGACACCCCCTTTCCCCCCAAACTCAGAGTCGGCACGCGCGGGGGAGACTGCGGTGGAGGTGCAACTCATCGGACCCACCGCCGAGTTTGAACATTGGGGGGAGGGGGAGGCGTTGACAGATGAATGTGGCACAAATGTCCGCTATCTTTTCCGAGGCCTGTCGCATCGTCTACGTAAGCATCCCATCGCCAGCGCAGACTTCCCCTGCCCAGCCGCCAACGCAAGAAGCGACCAGCTCACGATCCAGACCCGGTGGCGTGCCGGCTGGCGGGCGCGGCGGGCGCCGTCGCCAAATCGGGCGGCCGCCGGCACGTCAGCTTCATGGCTCGGATGTGTTTTCTCTTGGTATCGCTCGGACGTGTGCACTCTTTCTCGGCGGGGATTCTGAAGGAGCATCCTGGATCATCTTGCGACAAAAACCGCGCACGAAACCAAACAAAAAACACAGGGAATGGACGTCCGAGCGACGGGGAGTTTTTTGCCACCGATTGACACCGATCCATGGATCTGGCGCGCTCGCGCCTGGCCCACGGATCCGCAGTCCACCCCAGAGTGTGCCCGAATGCGTCGCTTCAGCGCAGCAACGCTGGAGCGTGGGGGCCGCGGGAGCGTCCAGCGCACCAGCGGGCCGGGAAGGGTCGAACGGGGAAGGTGGGGCCGTAGCTTATTAGGGGCGCCGGTAACTGTAAGTCGGGCGTGCCCCTCTACAGGAGGGATATTCAAAAATAGTCAAACAGCTACCCTGGCGACGTACCCAACCCTTGCGCAATGCGGGGCACAAGTTCATCAGGATTGCTACAACGGGGGCGATGACGTAGCATGGACGCATGTGATTCTGCGAGCAGCAATCGGAAGGCTCGCAGGCCCCCGATCAAGATCTAAGGGCTACGTGATAACAGATCACCCCCGTTGGCTGTGCCATGCGCCCGTTGCACCCAACGTATCCCACAGCAGCTCTTGAAAGCCCCCGCGGGATACGTGTAGACGCAACGTTATGGCCATCGCCCGGCAGATGGTCTGTTTCACAAATCACCCACGGAGAGGTCTCGCTCAGATCCCCGCGGTGCCTCACTCCGCAGGACCCACCAGCAGCCCTCGAAAGTGGCGACAGTGTCGCAGATCGCAGCCCCCCAGGGACGGCGAGGTCTCGCTCAGATCCCCGCGGTGCCTCACTCCGCAGGACCCACAAGCAGCCCTCGAAAGTGGCGACAGCGTCGCAAATCGCAGCACCCCAGGGACGGCGAGGTCTCGCTCAGATCTGCGCGGTGCCTCACTCCGCAGGACCCACCAGCAGCCCTCGAAAGTGGCGACAGTGTCGCAGATCGCAGCCCCCCAGGGACGGCGAGGTCTCGCTCAGATCCCCGCGGAGCCTCACCCCGCAGGACCCACCAGCAGCCCTCGAAGTGGCGACAACGTCGCAGATCGCAGCCCCACAGGGACGGCGAGGTCTCGCTCAGATCCCCGCGGTGCGTCATTCCGCAGGTCCCACCAGCAGCCCTCGAAAGTGGCGACAGTGTCGCAGATCGCAGCCCCCCAGGGACGGCGAGGTCTCGCTCAGATCCCCGCGGTGCCTCACTCCGCAGGACCCACCAGCAGCCCTCGAAAGTGGCGACAGTGTCGCGGATCGCAGCCCCCCAGGGACGGCGAGGTCTCGCTCAGATCCCCGCGGTGCCTCACCCCGCAGGACCCACCAGCAGCCCTCGAAAGTGGTGAAAGTGTCGCAATCGCAGCCCCCCAGGGACGGCGAGGTCGCGTTCAGATCTGCGCGGTGCTTCACTCCGCAGGACCCACCAGCAGCCCTCGAAAGTGGCGACAACGTCGCAGATCGCAGCCCCCCAGGGACGGCGAGGTCTCGCTCAGATCCCCGCGGTGCCTCACCCCGCAGGACCCACCAGCAGCCCTCGAAAGTGGTGAAAGTGTCGCAAATCGCAGCCCCCCAGGGACGGCGAGGTCGCGTTCAGATCTGCGCGGTGCTTCACTCCGCAGGACCCACCAGCAGCCCTCGAAAGTGGCGACAACGTCGCAGATCGCAGCCCCCCAGGGACAGCAAGTTTTGCTCAGATCCCCGCGGTTCCCCACTCCGCAGGACCCACCAGCAGCCCTCGAAAGCGGCGACAGTGTCGCGGATCGCAGCCCATTGGCAAGATGCACACACAAGAGGTACCGCAGCCACGATGATCGCGCACACACACACACATTCACATTCACATTCACCGTCACATTCACATTCACCGTCACATTCACACGCACACACGAGGTACACACAAGACTGGAGGAGACAAGATGAAAGCGAGAGGCGGGAGGCGGGAGGAGGACGCGACCGCAGTGCTCGATTCAAAACGAA